ATGCATTTACAGAAAGATATCCTCACATTCATAAAAATGGCGTGTCAAAATGACTAATAATTAATCCTAAGTTATTCGGACCACTCTTTTTCATACGTAATCGATATAATCATCGAAACGTTTATTTGAATTAAGTTCGTTCTAAGGATGGGTGCAGTTCATCGAACTTTTTTGTATGGCTGCCATTCTGTCATCATTTAGTGAAACTGAGCTTTATAAGACCCAAAGTGATGTGAAAAAATCCAAATCGTTCTCAAGATATCCCTGTTGTTATCATAATAATTGAAACACTTCTCACCTGCGTATGGCCACGTAAGACAGACTGAAGGTGATCAGCAATGCGAACGTCATGTTGATTGATGGTTCCATCGCGACAACCGCTGCACAAAATGTGTTCGTTCCACGCTAGACTGCCGACGCGTGCTTGGTGTCCGACCATCGTTCTCAACTTGCGATGGGCAGCCACGTCCCAAATCTTAAAAGCCACCATAAAAAAGTTTTAAAAAATGCACGACACATGAGGATCATTTAAATGTTCCTCTGCGTACCTGCACGGCTCCCGAGCTCAGACCGACCGCCAAATAACTGCTGCTGGTCGCCCACGAAAGTGAGCTTACGTACTCGCTGACACCGTTCAGTTCGAGCAGGAGATCGATACCACCGGTCTCTGCATTCCACAGATACAAATGACCACTGAGCCCGACGGCCAATATATTGCTTTGATTCCAATCAAGGAGGTTTAAGTCTGCAACAAAATATTTCAACACCAAAAAGAATAAATTGATGGTCGGCAATCAAGTCGACTGGTCTCAGAATGATTATAAAATAAAACCTACAGTAATCATCCAGAATTTCCGGGGCGTCTAAAATTCTTTCTGGTGAAGCGGGAATGTGGCGAATAGATTTCTTACATACGGAAACGGGCGCAACGCGCGAACTATACAGTACCTTGTTGTTATTTACATGTCCTAAAAATAATGCTTTAATGCGAACATTCTGGTGTACGCCATAAACATGCTATACCTAAGGTGACCTGAGGGGCTTTGGTCTTCTGAAACGCCAGTATGTTAAAGTTGGAGCTGTCGTCAGCGGTCGAGTCACTGGTGCTCTTGTCGATGGCCGTAACGCCACCGTTCAACGCTGCACTCATTAGACGTTGATATTCCAACTTTTCAGGATCTAGCTTCACCGTACCGGTGCCGGTCCGTTCGTTGCAGCTCTGCATCAAATAGTGCCCTAGCTCGAGCTGAGTTACACTTCGATTGGGAATATAGCGATCGCCTCCCGGGGAAGCAGTCGCAGAAACGTCCGGATTTCTTGACGGTGTTAACTGCTTGGTTTTGCCTTAATGAAAAACAAATTTAAGCACCGGACCTTTATTCAAAAAACAGAAACTCTAAAAGCAGTTTAAAAAAGAGGTAAAGTATTTTCCGTTTACTATGTCCTGTTTTTAGATATTGTATACTAGAATATTCTTAAAAACTTCCACCTGCTGTTCAACTTAAGCGACAATACCAAAATAGCATCAATTAACTATGAAGTGAACACTGTCCAGGGGTTGCTCGGATTCATGTAAAATAACCACCCGCAACAAGATTTTGCAGTGAATCAAAACCTTCGAGTAGCTTCATTTTCATGATGAAGCATTAGAGTGCGTTGTTGTTTAATATAATTTTCACTGTGACAATATATGGCCGAACAGCGTACCAAATTTCGATCTTTGGAAGGAATTAATCGCGACCGAGGTTGCTCAGTTGGTAGAACGTCAGATTTAGATTCACAAGGTCAATCGCCTCTTCCCATCCTAGGGAGGAAGATAAATAAATACCATCTTGTGGAAAGGAAACAGAAACTGATCTTTTGACTACAGATTAACCCTAAAAGCAAACAAGGTATTCCAACTTTATGATATTGAAAAGAATATTGGAGCCGCAACATCAGCTCAATGAAAAGAGGGTGAAAAATTGAGCTCAAGCATCAGTGTAAAAGGGAAACTTACATACCATCAGTTTGAGACGTCTCTTTTATCGTAACATACAGAAAGTGCTGGTTAAGCAAATATCATCGTGCAATGATCAACAACCAAAGTAAAAGACCACGTGCCAAAAGCGAAGTTTCTCGAAGTGTACCTTTGAACTGCAGATCTGAAC